CTAAAGACCAATAATCATGAAAAATTGTTTCCTAGATTCGAAAATATATATAAATTACTGTAGAAACGAATATTATTGACGGACACCCCTGAGAACTTCTATAAACCATATACACTGAATGATTTTGAGGTTATGTTTGCAAATAGGTACATAGGTATTAAAATAATAAAAAACAAATAAGTTACATAATAAACTAGGGAAATCAAGCTAAGTACCGAAATTACGTTTTAGATTCAGGTATATAGAGAAAATAGATTAACAGATAGTTGCCTGATTATAAAGTTAATGCACAAGAGTAACTTTTAAAATCAGTTATCATCTATGCATTTCCGGTAATAATAAGGTACTCTGTGACAGAAACTGTGTGATGATTGTTGTGAATGAGCCACAGATTAGAGAGAATTTTTAAACTCTCGTTAATTTAGTAAGTTAAGCTTCAATATTTTATTTATGTTTATATTATAACCATATTTTAGATTTTTAGTGTATCACACCTTATAATGTGTTATGGAGGTGTTTGGCGAAAAATGTATAGCAATAGACTTTATGATGTCGCCTACATCTATAATAATTGTCTAAGCACATTTGCATATAGTGAAAATGATAAATAGTTGTGAATATTATTACCACAGTGTAACAAAAAAAAAAGTTTTATTTTATCGATCTTTACAAAATAGATTTGATTTTATGTTATTTAAACAACTTCGATCAGTCTTTGGCTGAATGTTACTACACCCATAGCCATTAAAAATGATTCGTATATTTTCCAAACCGGTAAAATTAAAAGTCCTTTTTGAATTGAATATATTATACAAAGGTGTCTGTACGTTAAAATCTAATGACTATAAAATAAAGTATACATTACGCCAAGAATTACCGTATATGTCAATATTTTTTGTACATTTGGGCCAATTTGAGCAATCTCCTTTCATCCAAATCCGTTTAGCCTTTTTTCGTGATTGAGTAACAAAGGATTTTAATTTTGTCTTCAGTTGTTGGCTAACAGTGTCCGTAATATTTCCACCTTTTCCACAATTTAAAGAATTGTGAGATAATAAAGATCAGTACCTATCTAACCTATTATAAGTGTTAGTGAAATGATGAATAAAGAGTTTCGTGTATTTTTTTTTATAGTTTAGGAGGAACAAATATTGAAAACATTCATGCGCACCGGAAGCCGAACGTGTGACGAAAACGAGTTTTACTAAGCAACGTAATCGAATCTACCATATTGTTCAAAATTTTGTACACAAATACTCAAACAAACATCTTGCGCCTGTCACAAAGTAATAATAACATTTTGTTATTTTTACAATGATTCCTCATAAGAATCAATCATGCAGTTAATGCGGTATTTGAGAGATTTTATAAACTTTTTTTATTCAATTTTTATCTGCATAACTGCTGTAAATGTATTACTTCTAATACTTGTGGTCAAGCTCCTTTAAAATTTCCATTCAACTTTTAACAAACATTTATAACTAATAATTTATACTTAAGAGGGGAAGAGGGCCATGTTTTTCCATACAAATCTGTTGTTCCATACAAAAAGCCTACTGTGAAAATTCATTAAGCATTTACAAAAAAAGCAAAACGTAGAGGCCTAATATAACTACAAATTATCCTATGGGTAAAATTTCTTTTAATTATATATAATTTTCAAGGAGGAAACTGTGGAGAGCCAAACCTCGAATTCTGCAACTTTTATACACAATTTTGCCAATGCGCTATAGCAATGTTTATTTCAAATACCTTTTTCTCAAATATCTCTCAGTTCGCGTCCGCTCTTAAAAAAGCTTTCATCACAGGCGATTAAACATAAAAATGGAATACCAATAATTCCAGGAAAATTAAAAGTATATTCGACTGAAACATGAACGACACCTTGAAGTATTCAAACGTTAAATTGGTACTTCTTAAAAAGCTCAGCTCAATCTAGTGATCGCACATTCATCATTCATACTTACATTACATAAATTAGACTTCCGAGGCTTTCTGTGCGTAAAGATAAGAATAAAATCTCTAAACGTAGGAAACCCATAGACTAATTCAGTCGTTATTGTTTAGGTATCTAGCAACAGATTTTTGCTACTAATCATATGTTTCTACCAGAACCTGATTTTGAGTTCTGACCGCCCTAGGCTAACTATAAATATGCGCCCCCCTGCCTTTTCATAAACTTACAGGTGAAACTAATTAAATTGCAAGTACAAAAGAGAGCTTACTTAACCTAAAAGCATTCCGAACAGTATCAACTTTCGCAGCACTCTCACACGTAATGAGAGCCGAATATATGAATTACCTATCCAATGACATTACCCACGAGAAATAATACCACGATAGCAGCTACTACCGCCACCATCTCTACCGATATTGAGACCATCTTTACAACAGATTCCATGCGCTCATACACTGATGGTAGCAAATTGGAGGATGGACAAGGGGCACACCCGGTACATAAGTTTATGTTGCAACCGGCTTACACCGTCTTTCAGGCAGAGCTTCTCCGCGATAGAAGATGCATGTAAATGGGCTCTAGAGATGAAATCCCAGCACATTACAATACTATCGGACAGCATGTAACACTTACGGCACTCGGAGACAGAAGTAACACCAACCTTCAAATAGTTGCCGTAAATAAGGCAGCAAAGGACCGTAAAACACATAATATGGACATGTACAATTCATCTGGGTCAAAGCTCACGCGAAAGTAACTGAAAACAAGACGGGGCGGGTGCAGTAGCAGAATCTGCGGCGGAGCTTCACTGCGATTATTGCTACGCCAAGTTCACCATCAGCTTTTTGAAAAGGGAGCTCAAAAAGGAACGTTCCAGAAATGGAAGCAAATTTATGTGACAGCACCTCAAGGCAAAAGTGGCACTGTGCCCCGACCTAGAAAATGTGGCTACAGTATTGGAAAGATGTGGCATAATGTTTTATTTAAATCAGTACCTAACAGGGCGTGGGTACCACCTTCACAAATTCAAAATAAACTCATCTGACCTATGCCCTTGCAATGATGCATCAGCACCGACCGACGATCGACCTCCTTCTACATTGCGATAGATTCAACCTGTTTTTATATGCGACGCACATAAGGTCCCTCCATTCGATCCAAAGGAGGTGAAAAAAAAAGATACAACTAAATTATCTTTCATTAAATGCATTACCTCCTTATTTAGTTCCCTTAAAAACTTCAACCAGGAATAAATGACATTAAAAATTATTTAATATCAGATACATCACTAAACAGCGAAATAGAACCCTTTTTATAGAGAATGGGTCTGTATCCAATCACGGACCTAAGTTCTATCAGAAAATACTAACACTAGAAAAATACAAATATATTAATACAAACACCAGAAAAAAAACTGTCAGTAAGTAATTAAACGAGACGTAATTAAAACACTTATTTTTAACAATATTTTCACCTATTTAATCCTAACAAAAATTGTGTGTGTCAGCTCCGACGCACGACTGGAGTTTACTCCTTAAGTTCGATAGTCTAACGCAAAAAGAGTTTATTTAACTTAAAAAAGATTGATACTGTGTGAAAGGGTAAATTGAATTGAACAAATGAATGAAAATGTATATGAAATGAATAAATATATATTTATTCATTTCATATACATTTATTATAAGTAATCGACAAAATATTTTACATTAAACTTTTTACAATAGTCAATTTCAGATGTGCATAAATATATCATTAGTAATGTTGATAAATTATGTAATAATTATTATCAGACTATTATCATTTTTTTAATATTAATTATTTATTTTATGGTAACTAAAATAAGACACATGGACGTTCGTAGATACGTGGTTCACGAATCTTGAAAATACCGCATCAATGGTTGTACCATACCTTGTTGTCCCCATTGCTCTATCAGAAACAATATCTAAATTCAGTTTAGATTTTAAAAATTTTATTAATGTCAATCCGTCATCTTTGTTTGTCAAAGTTGCACGACATAGGATGCGCACCAAAAACGTAACGAGGTCATTCATCGATAGATTTTACTCCTCACATTTTTCTCATACCGGGCCCCTTATATATGCAAATCGATTCTTATGGAGTAAACTCCAAAAATATAAAACATGAAATAATAAGATAAAAAATCTCCTATGAGAATAATATATAAAACTCCGTTTCCTTACTTCTCCCTGACATTATATTTCCACAATATTGTCATCATTTTGTAAAAAATCATTCTTTATAAAATAAACATTTTGTTCGTGATATTTGTGTGATAGCGCACGCAGGATTTTTATTATAATGCACGTATTTTTCCAAAATTGCGAAATATTATTATACAAGTCTCAACTCAGCGCCGCCGCCGGCCGTCCCTTTGGTCCTTGCGCCCTAGGCTCAAGCCTTATTAGCCTGTGGGTAAATCAGGCCGTTTTCTACATAGGCTTTGTCATAGTTTTATACACAAGACCAGTGGTCTTTTTAGAACTAGAGGCGTCAAACAATGAACCCTATTATTATAAAGCGCAACTGCTTCTAAGTTTAATTAAAGCATTCATATATTATGCAACTTAACAAAATAGTTTATTTCTTTTTGACGTGACAACGTCTTAAATTAGGTTGCGGCTGGGAGTCACTTATGAAAAAGTGTAACGCTCGGTAACGTTACGATGAGTCTCTCGTGTTAAGTTTAAGTTTACATGTACAATGTTTTAGTAAACAAAATATATTTCTATAGTTAAAATTTGTGCAATTCTTATTTTCATTCAATTCCTTGTTCCTATTGTGCAATTTAATTATATTCATATCAATAAATATTCTACCGAGAAAAAGACGTTGTCACGTAAAATCTTCGCCCGTAAAACCGACTTTACAGGCAACCAATTTTTTTTATGATGAAAAGAAGTTAAAATGCTATATTATTATTATCATCGATCGTCGGGTCACATTCAATTTCTTGTAAACGCAACTTAACCAATGTAATTAGGTAGGTACAGGTCCAAAAAAACAACATATTCATATTGACGTTTTTAATAATAAATAAATATAGAAACAGAAATCCTATAAAGAGTAGGCGAATAAAAAAAATATTTAACAAAAGGTCGTGATTTGACACGGTTTTATTTAAGTATAGAAGTATTAATATGGCGATTAAATAACAATAGATACATAATTACACATCTTTTTCACAAATAGATCTCATTTATCAAAAGCTTACGTGCTCACTATAGTAGGTAATAAATAAAATAAGGCACGACTTTTTATCACAGAACATATAAGCTACACAATCCATATAGACAGATAAAAGATTAATTAATTAGAATTTTACGTACCTACTTATATTGGGAAAAAAACCTGCTTTGCTTCTACATTACAAAATAGATATTTTGTGACCGTTTTACATTACCGTTAAAACGGAATGTTAACTATGAAATAACCAATGGATTTTCAGCTTACTAAACTAGTGGCAGGCTAACATTATTCGAGTATGCGTTCGAGTCCAGTAATCCAGACGGTCAAACTGGCATTCTTTCATTTACTCCTTCACTCACGCATTCCAGTATTCTTACAAAAAAAGATATTCTAGTCGACTAGAACGATCTTCTATTTTTAATTTAGTAGTGACCTCCACTTTATTTTTTTTTACTGGAATGATCTACTTTAATATTACTGACGGGATTACTGGACTCAAACGCATTCTGGTAAATAGTTAAACGGCCATAATAGATTAAAACCTGACATCAACTTATTATTTATATCCCCGTTTGGAAGCAATTACACAAAGCAACTTGTCAATTGAAAATTAAAGAAATATCTACTCTCATAAAGCCTTTATAAAATTATATCTAACATACAAAAAGTTCACTACATACACTCGATTCATATGGTGTAAAACTATCTTTAATTTACATTATTTACATAATTTTGAATTGCAATCATACTTCTGTGAGATCTTTCAGTACCTACTTGTTTATTTAATCAATTTGAAAATGTGCAAAGCTTACATAAGTTAAAAAAATGCACATTCAAATCAGAGATTCTTATTTTTTATATCAATTTAAATCGTTAGGAACAAAAGCCCCTGAAATAATAAAAAAATGGAGCGGAATAAAAGTAAGAACGCCTTTTACCGGCGTTTTTAGGATTCCATAGATAAAGGGTGGAAACGAAAAGCTCTATCATACCTTCAGTGTCGGTCAGCCACAGGGCTATATCTATTGAACGCAAATGGTAGGTAGACTTAAATTTTCGCATACATTTGCGATATAAATTAACAAGGTTTATTGAATAAATCTAAAAAAAGGTTAAACATCAGTCTATTCTTATTGCCTACTTCATAGCATCTAATGTGCGTATTAGCATTTTTATTTGCTATTCAATGATCTCACGATGCACTTGTTTGTATGTACATTCAGCACCAAATAGGTAGATCTACAAGATAGTAGAACTATGTCAAACTACATTATTCATTTAATTACTGCACCAGCCGTTTGTTTATGATATGACAAGGTTCTACAATCATACTTACGTATTATATTATTGCTGGTGATAAAACTAAAATCATATTATGAACAAAACGTTAATGTAACTTTTATATATTGTCCATAATTGATATATTTAGTTTTACATTTAATGAATATACAAAATAGCACTTGTTATAAGTGTAGCATTCATTAAGTAAGTATATTATTTAGCAAAAGAAAACTATTCCGCAATCAATCTTTCGCAACATACATACCAAGAAAATTCAGCGGTTGAATTTATACATTGAACGAACGAATTGTTGAAAATAATACTTATAAAACGTACAAGTCGGAGCCAAAGAGTCAGCGCAAGATTAAAATGCAAAGGGATAATTTAAACACTTATAATATAATTTAAATTATTAAATAAGTAACTAAAGAAAATTATTTTACCTTCACTTTTGGCTTCTTTGCTATTTCTAAGATATACCACAACACAGCCAAAACATATACAACAGTCAGTGTCTCAATCAAGTTTTTTCTTGACTTCAGCCGAGTGAGAAGAATTGCTTGCTTGGCATCTTTTGTCTTAACTTCTTAAGAAACTCGCGGGCTTGTTTGTCCCCAATACGCGTTTCCAATGCTTTAATCGCTTCTCCGTCTGTCAAAAAGAATATTAAGATGATTTCTACTGGAATGACAGTGAAAAAACCTAGATTCGATAGATACTTCCGCTAAGACAATAAAAATATTTCGAAAAGTGAAAGGCTAGGCACACAAATATTTCAATTTGACCCTTGAGGAGTTCGATGGCACAGGTGATTAGTATGTTTGGTCTGAAATCGTGAAATTGAGCAACTTTCGCAATGAATGGTCATTGGATGCACCAAAAACTAATTATCTCGAGTTCCTCAGTGCTTCGGAAGGCACGTTAAGCCGTTGGTTCCGGCTGCATCTGCAATCTGTGCCGGTTCGCGTGGTGGGTCATGGCCCACCTCGCTGAAGTGCAGGTGTCGCTCACACTGACTACGTGGTCGTGTTATTTCCCCGCGTGTGCCTAAATTACAACTCACCCAAGCTGCTGGGCCTGCTGAGCGGCAACAGTTGCTGCAGCATTTTGCTGAAGTGCAAGTGTCGCTCACACTGACCACGTGCTCGTGTTATTTCCCCGCCTGTGTCTGAGTGTGATTACAACTCACCCAAGCGGCAACAGTTGCTGCGGCATCTCGCTGAAGTGCAGGTGTCGCTCACACTGACCACGAGCTCGTGTTATTTCCCCACGCGTGCCTGAATGTGATTACAACTCACCCAAGCTGCTAGGCCTGCTGAGCGGCAACAGTTGCTGCGGCACCTCGCTGAAGTGCAGGTGTCGCTCACACTGACCACGTGCTCGTGTTATATCCCTGCGTGTGCCTGAGTGTGACAACTCACCCAAGCTGCTGGGCCTGCTGAGCGGCAACAGTTGCTGCGGCAGACTGCTGATGGGTGCGGGAGTGTCGACTACTTCGCTGAAGTGAAGGTACGCCTCGCCCATGAAAGTGTTGCTCACACTGAACATGTCTTTGTCCTTGATCACGAATTGCATTAGACCGTCGGTGACGCGCTTCTGGTCGTGGGACAGCGGTCTGAAAAAAAAGGAAAAATATTTTTTTATGTCTATAGAAAGTCACTTTTTTAATTTAAAGAACGTTGTTGATATTTGATAAAGTAAAAAAAAACATTGGCTCATATTCGAATATAAACCTAACATAGAGCAAACTTTACCAAATTAAACATTAAGATAAATATTTGTAAAGCAGTATTATTTAACTTTGTCAACATAAATACTTAAGCTTCACTTCAGCATTGATATATCATAGGTACAGTAAAGAGTTATTAACAAAAACTGTTGCCTTTAAAAATATTATTATCATATACAATCAGACATTATTAATAATTTTATCGTAGATTGTACTTACATGATAAACATCTCGTCATACAAAGGGAATAGATTTTTATTATGCGTCTGTGTTTTAGGTTTCACGACGTTGGCAAAAGTGTCTTCTGGCAGTAACTGTACTCGTACATAGGAGTCACACAAACCTGAAAATAATTGTATTAATGAACTGATCATAAAAGATATTTAGTTTCCATAGCTCTGTGTAGTTTGCGACTAAATTATTCTTACGAGTTGTCCCACAGAATACAGGAAGTAGTTCTGTGAGTTGTCTGGAATCATTATAAATCATAAAACTAATACTTAACTGATTTACTGATTACATTTATGGAGTAGAATAGATATTTTTTATTTGTTATGAATATGTATATATGTCGTGGCCATATCGTAGATTTGATCACTTCATGAAATGTTCGAGAACATCATGAAATGGTCGCATTTCATGAAATGTTTCGCTATCTATTGGCCACATCATGATGTGGTTTGGGCAGATCAATGATGAGAAATCGTTTCACGATATGGCCAACTAAACGCGTGGCTACTTCATGAAATGGCAAAAATTATTTGATCATATTGTAAAGTAGTTACATTAATTACCGGTAGAGGCGCTGCAAGCGCTTTATTTATATATTTATATGGCGGCCGCTGCCGACAATGTTGTTTCTCCCAGTGAAAAAGTGCATAATTAGTTATTTGATGAGGAAGAAAGTTAAAAAAAGGGTTTTCAACGAAACAAATTAATGAGAGTAGGGTGACTACGCAAAAGAAATCTATGGACTATTACTGGCTGTCAAAATACGACATTTTGGAAACTGCGGTTGAGGTACAAAGTGCGGATGAGAATCAATGCCGTACAAAGATATAGTGTAAAACTGTACTTCCAGGGCGAAAGAGGTGATACTTCACTTTCTTTTGTAGAAAAGGTCTCTTTTAATAGATTTTTTTTCTGGCGCTTCGCCGGCCGCTACCGCGGCACGCTCGCTTTGCTCGCTCGGGTCGCGCGTCATGGTCACAACACTAACCTAACCTAACCTAGTGTGAAGTATTACCGTTTGGGCCCTGGAAGAACAGTTTAGTCTACTATTGTAATATGTACAAAAGTAGCTTATTATTTCTAAATATTTGATAGTTTTCTAAATATAAATGTGTAAGTTCTTGACATGTTTGATGTTCAATTTAGGAAAAAAAATCTTTAATTTATTTATTTTGTTACAAAAATGTGATTAAATTTGTTTGTGTCATTCGGACTTAAATAACAATAAACAAGTTCTATTGGATACCCTAATTATACGATCCGGCCAAATGTGGATGACCAAATCGTTAAATGTTGACGATTTAATGATCTGGTCAAATTAAGTTGGTCACATCATGAAATGTGATCATTTCATGAAGTGATCAAATCTACGATATGGCCACGACATATGGGACAGACGGGACTCAAACCCGCAATCCGGGCGAATGCACTGACCAATTATGCTACCGCGGCCCTCACGGACCGCGTCGAAATTCCTCTAGCCATTCTTAAGCTGCAAGGCAGCGCCATCTCTTCGCATTATAGGTAACCCACAATTGTAGTATGAAAGTGTTTGTATATACAAATATTTAGTTACTATTATTGTAAGTAAGTAAATATTAATTAAGTTACAGAAAAACTCTTTAAGAACCTCTTATAGACATCATACGTTTTCACTCACCGTTAGAATCTGTCGGCATCAAATTCCTTGCGTTCATGACTTCAATTTTTAAATTGTCATCAATGAATTGCGCTCTGACTGTCAAAATTCCATGCTTCGGATCCTGTATAGTTTGTTGCTCCTGCCACCTCTCTAAATAGTACTGGTGTATAAGTTCTCTGGTCTCCATTCCATGCAGTTTTAATAAATACTCCACTCTTTTTAGTGTATCCGATGAATAAGCCTCTTTACTCTCTTGCCGGAACGATTGTATCATAATCTTCAGGCACTCATGCAGATTCGAAAAGAAACTGGGTGGTCGACGTTTCTGTAATGATATAGTTATAAAATTTATTGAATGCCGTGTCAAGTGTTCAAATTTCAACTTAAATAATAATGTACAGGGATAATAATGCCGTCACCACTTTAACAAAATGCCGAATCAGAAGAGAGAAACAGAGCTGTCTTCATTTCTAAACGGGGTAAAAGTAGAAATTCGATAACAAAAATAATGTTAATAAAATAAATGTTTATGCAGAATCTATCGAATAACAAGAGATACCTTAAAAAATGAGGAGCACGTGTGTTCATTTTGTTACTTTAGTGATTTTATCAACTTGAGTACACACAACCACAGAAACGTTGCAGAATTAAAAAAAACTTCAAGGTCAACTATCCTTGTCATCTTTCTAGAGCAGGTCTTCTATGACTCAGCCTCTCATTATACATTTTTGAATCTTGGACATACATATGGCATCCAGTAGACAATTTTAACCACGTCGGTATATGCTTTTGTGACACGTTCAAATGCTTAGTTTGGCGCCATTATGTAGTATCGTACTTGGATTCAATAGCTGATAGTTATATTGTAACTTGGACCCACGTATAGTTAAATGTAAATAAAGTCTCGATATATAAGAATTGCCGATTCTTCTCAGTACAAGGTCTCCCGCCGTAGATTTGCGAACCGATGGCCGTAGCTCTTCGACATTCACAAGTGCTTATAACAGCCTAGACTGAATAAACGACATTGATTTTGATTTTTGATTGTAGCTGGCATCTTTCTTCCAATACTGATCAGGCGATCATAAAGTGGATGATATATAACTATCTATCGTGTGCAATTTCGCCCTGAGTTAATCGAGTTTTGTATTTTTTTTTGGGTTCTAGTTATTAAACTTCTTAATAAAGTTAAAAAAAAAGATAAAAGCATTTAAACTTAGTAACCGTCCCCATGATGTTTAATGATTATAGATTATTATGATATTCTGGTTTTGTAATGAATTATTTGTTACCTACTAGATTTTCAAGAAATTATGATATAGATTAATTATAATTATTTTGAGATATGAATTTTAACAAACTCTGTTTCTACAATCTGAACCCATCACCCACAACATGCATAAATATAAATATTTTTTGTATAAAAACTTCATTATATGTTTATATTTTAGAATGCAATGCATGCACACATGCTATAGAAAAAAAAAGTTTATGTTAATGAAAATGGCGATTTAAATGACACTTGCCTATAAATTTATTTAATAAAGAATATCTGTAATTGTTTTTTTTTGACTCTGCTAAAATATCATAAAATATTATATAAAATAGAAATCAGCTTTAATAATCTATCTGAAGGAATTCATGAAATAGATAGACATATTAAGGCATGATACAAATACGGCTAACACAATAAAAAACATTGGCTAAAACAGAACTGAACGAACGAACTGTACATGCCACAACAGTTTTTGATACTATACAGTAATAAAGAATACTTCATACATATAGTACAATTTTACGATAAAAGGAACTAAAAAGCTTTCAAAACAGATACCATACCCAGCAACACCAACAACCATCATATAAAAATCCAGATATAATTATAGATATTTGCATTAAAAAAATGCATTAACCTTATTTTTCATCAAAGCATGTGCCGTTGTGAATGTTGCAGAGTGGATACTAACATACAATAAACAGTAACATAACAGCGTTGACTATTCACAAGGTGCTATCTAAGTCTAAAGTTACCACATCTAAGTGGGCTGGATCCGATTTGCTCAAGCGCCGCGGGTTGATATACTTGGGTATCTTTAGTCGCCGGTGCTGAGTAAAAAATAATAACAATACGAACATTTAAACAAAAGTAAACAAAAGATTGGAAAAAAAATAACAATGCATTTATAATTCATTCAATTTGTGCCAGTGCGCACTAGATTTTTTTTCTTTTTTGCAATAGCGTGCGTATACGCAATATTATTTACCCGAATCAAAACAAAGTTTGGGGACACTTTGTTTTTTCCAAAATATCTACGCCTAATCAAGCTGATACGGTTGGCGAGTGTCTCTTTCTACAAAATGAAAGTTAGTTATGTTAGAATATGAGAAAGATGATTAAATGAATTTTAATCCCTTTAATTAGTAAGTTTTTTTGTTACTGAAAAACTAAGTAGTTTTCATAGTAATATGGTTCATAAACAAAGTGGTAAATTAAATTGTACTTTAAACAAAATTAATGTACCTACGAATTGTTTAATATGTATCTACAATGCTACACCCTCAATCCTAGACTTCCGCAACAATAAATTAGAATCCCACCATAGAAAGTAAGATATTTATAATAATAAATGAAAATAATATAAACAGTTAGCACTTGGCAAAGTTACAGCTATCTGTTAGCAATATTACAAAGAAAAAAAAAGAAAAATTCTACTTCAATAAAATGCAGCTTCATACCTCTAAATTGACTTGTATTAGTTCGTACAAAACTTCTCCCAATTGCTCCCAGACTATGTCAAGAGTTCTAGAGAAGTTCTCGTTGTTGAGGTGCTGGTACAAAGTGTCGAGATTCGCTTCGAGATACCTCATCACTCGCTCCATACTAGAACAGTCTTGATGAAGTAACTCGGCCCCCTCGATTAAGAATCGTTTGATGGATGGCATCATCTGAAACCATTTACAAATCTCTCAGATAACTTGAAAGTACGTTGTTATACATTGTGAATTTTGAGTTACCCGAGAAACTTTACTAGCTAATTCAGACAACGATTAAGGATATATATGATATATTTCCGGAAAAAAAACTTTTTTTTTAGGAAATGTCTCCACGTTATGTCACTAACAGTGCAATTATTAAACCTTAACAATTTAACTGACATATAACTGATTCAAATGAAACTACTTTCAGGATCTACATAATTTAAAAGGATAATAATTCCATATTAGGTGTGTTATTTGCAAATTTGCGCCGTTTCAGGATATTTTGTAAACGTTATAAATAAACCCAATGGGGGTGTAGTAAGTTTCCTATTTATAACTGTTCGCACTAATTTTATTTACAAGATATTTTTTCTCAGGTAACTCAAAATTCACGGTGTTTAACAACGGTGGATTGAGGATCTCGATGGCTCAGGTGGTTAGCGCGTTCGGCTGCGATCGTGAAGTTAAGCAACTTTCGCAGTGGTAAGTCATTGGATGGGTGACCAAAAATGTTTTAGCTCGAGTTCCTCCGTGCTTCGGAAGGCACGTTAAGCCGTTGGTCCCGGCCGCATCTGCAGTCGTTAGCACCCTACAATCCGCATTGGGCCCGCATGGTAGGTCATGGCCCATCCATAGGGAAGGCCTGTGCCCCAGCAGTGGGGACATTAATAGGCTGATGATGATGATATAAATATGATGAACAACGATGTTTTACTAGTGGGTGCCCCACGACTTCGTCTGCTTGTTTTATTTGGTTTCCCATACAAACTTTCACCTCCATAAAGCACAATTTCTCGGATAAAAACTACTATGTTCTTTCCCGAGACTCAAACTATCTTTGTACCAATTTTCATCTAAATCGTTTCAGTGGTTTAAACGTGAAAAGGAAGACAGACAGACACACTTTCGTATTCATAATATTAGAATGATAGACGTTATCATACAACGGCTTTGTAGAATTCTCTCAACAGCGGAAAACGAGCAAGACATTGTCATTTAACTATCAGTTATAAGTACTGAGTTAACATACCTTTTTCACCATAACTTCTAGGAGATCGACAATTTTGTTCTTTACAGTATCTATTGCGTTAGCAATGACATTCTGCAAAGTCTCCTTACATCTGAAAAACATGATTTATAATGAAAATTAGTAGAACAAGTTTGTATTGCTATGGGAAAATAATATACACAATAATCTTACGTGACTTCAAAATATAATTTAAACTAAATGAAAAAGTTCAGCTGCTAAAGAATTAACATAAAATCAGAATTTTAGTAAACAAATATGTCTTCAACTTAGTCATACATCTAAAGAAATTTGTAGAATATGTAAATTTCATACCTTTGGGCTTCAATGGGTGATTTGGCCTCGCACATCTTTTGGATGATGTCATCCATTCCTAACTCTTCAACGAAAGGTTCCAAGCTCTGCCTAACATAGTCGATGTTGTTAATAGCGACGCACCATTCATTAGTCACTTCGAACCTTTCTTCGTACACTGTGGTCACTTTACCGACATTGTCTACTCGATCGGCCATCTTGTCCGAATAAAATACGCAGCACCGGCATATGTCCTGAAAATATTTAGATTTTTTACACTCTTACTTGCTAATATCACGATCAATTTTAACAGAAAATGGAAATATCTAAATATTAACATGCTTTTCCGAGTTTTCAAACATTCAAAATAAAAACTGTGAAGCATAAAAAAGATTCATCGAAGGTTATTGATCTTAATCAAAATATGTAATAACAAAGTAGATATCCAGTTTAAAGAACCAAAAAGTAACTTACGTCTATAATCTTAGCTACGAACGTATAGCATCCCTCTATGTCGGGCCAAGCCAATTGCTGCCAGAAAATCTTGATTTGATAGAAGATGGCCAATGTGTCAACGCCGGAACTGCTGTATTTCACATTGGTATCGACTGGCACTAAATTATCTAAATCGACGGCTTTCTCTATACGCGTCAACGCTTTGTAAGCGGCTATGTCTAACCATTGGGCCACGCCCCCAAAGAACCAGGAATGGAATTTTGATATGGCATAGTTATTCCACTCTGTTTCATTTAACCCTTGGCCTAATCTGTAAAATACATTAAGGTATTTGTCAGTTAAGATTTTGTATCGCGTTTTTTTTTAATTAATTGTAATAATTTCTCTTATGCATAGGATAGTCAATTTAAAAGATTTAATATACCTCTAAAACAGCCGCGCACGTCCTATCTTATTTTATTATAATAGGAAAGTGTAGTGTATACCTATCGGAAACGTAATTAGGTCATGTCGCAATCCGCTATTTACGTAGATAGTTTTAGCAAGTAAGCAATATTATTAATTCAATTATATTGTAATGTTTTATTTCACTCAATAAACGGACTTCAAACTATAAACTATGTTTCCTTAAATAACCAACGATAGGCTAATATTAGATGGCGACCCTGCCAGGATCGTGACAGTGACAGTATCAAGTTTATTGCAACTAAAAAGTTAGTTAATGTTTCTGACTTCGGCTGTACTTATGCATTCTACTAATGTAATGACGATTTATTATAGCAAAATGTTTATATCCTGTTTACAGTTGAACAAGTAAACGCTTGTCTTATCACCTCTACTATTGAATTAGTGGTGTGCCACATTATCTTTTAGATCCTTAAGCAAACACACTCTTAGAGAGATAGGTCATTCAAAGTCATTTTCATTAGCGAAACATAAACATGAAGATGCTTACAAATGGGATGACACGTATAAACGCTAATTACTTCCAATATTCTTTAAACAAATTTAGAAGGAGTCTCAATTTGAGTTACTCAATAACTAATGCCACAAACATTGTTTATTAGAAGTAGAACACACTCATTTCAATATGGCAGAGCACCGCCATATAAGTTTATTGACTGTCACTGCATATCAACTTTACATTACAAAAAGTAAAATAACAACGACTTAAAACGATTTTTCAGAATTATCAAACCGGAAGCGTAATGAGAATCCACAAATTCATAATTATACCAATTTAAGATTACTATGGTTCGATACATTACTGGAATACTTAATTCTCGTAACTTAAAAATAAATTAAACATCAGTCTCAATTTTTTATTTTGTATAAAGAATGACAAGCATACACTGTTGTCAAATTTAATTTTAGGTTTAGATAATCATGCCAGAATCGACATCAATATCCACTTGATTTTTAAGATTTAACAAAATATGATACTAATTAAGGCCCAAAAATTAAAAAAAAACACTCATGGAATTATCATATCAAAAGCTAATAGATCATAATTTAAGTACACTTACGTCAAAAACCTCTGTAAAGTCAAATACAACTCGAACAACGTAGTTCCCATGGCCAACGGTTCCGATCCAACGTTGGGCGCACCCAATGCAGTCTCCCCGTTGATTCCTCCAGCCAGAACAACAGAATTAGTTGATCCTTCATTATAATGCAACCTTTTGAGGCTTTTGCAGACTTGTATCACTTCTGGTTCTACTAAAGATGCGATCTTGCTTTCGTACAACCCGTAAAGAGCTTTTGAATAAGGGAATGACATCACTCTGAAAACAATAGAAGAGAATAATAATAAATAAGAACTATTCTGAGTCAGACAAAAGGATTATTTGAGAATTAAAAGCACTTTAAACATGTGAGGACTTATGACAATATGACCGATAGTGGTTTCATCGGGTTAACCCCAGGTTTCAAAAATAGATCCCGGGGCATCCCGGCCGGTTTTGTAATGCAGTTGTAGTTTCATATAAATCAAAATCCTTTAAAAAATGACCATTTGTGGTTTGATTGGGACTCTCCCGAGTTCGAAGATTAGGTTCGGGGCATCCCGGTCGGTTTTGTAATTCGGTTCTTGTTTCATCTAAATGATTTTTAAAACGACGAAAATTACACTGCAGCGGAAGTGCTACTGACATAAAAAATAAAAAAAGCAATATGGTTTTTAGTCTATTTGTGTTTTTGCTCTGGGGTCTTGTTTTCTGTCCTGTTTACTTAATATTATAGTAAGCCTATCTTTTAAGTATTTATTTAAGTATGTTTAATAACTATAAGTTAGAATTACTTACTCAACAAAAACTCTGTCATAATACTCCACGGCGCGTTGAAGATCAGAGCGTACCAGCTGTATAACTCTGATAAGATGCTGTAATCTCGACTCCTCAGTCTTATCCTTGCATTCATTATTATCCAATATGTGAACGAACCAATCAGAAGCTCCTTGAATAACCGCCTGGTTTAAAACCTCATGGATAGTTAATTTTTGACCATCGTCTCTCAACCACCCGTATAACGCAGTCGGGAATAAACTAATGCTCTCATGCGCATCTATCATAGACAATTTGTAGAGAATTTTGAGGACTTCCCGGAGGGTCTTCATCACTGTTTTATCTCCAGCCGTCTTCTTCCTCAATTTCCTGATGTAACTGAAGCAAGTGGGCATCAGTTTTTTGGCTCCGTCCCAGAATAATTTGACCTCCTCTTCACTCACAAGACCTGAAAGGTGTCAAATGCAACCGGTTTGAGTATTCACAGAGTTTGGCCGGAGTAACGACAATACAGCCGACAGACAAGTTAGTATCAGTTCGTTTTCGTGAACGCCACTGCAGCATCAACTCCTCAAGCACATTTTTGTTATATTTTCCTCAGGGACAACAAAAGGAACCAAAGATTTTTTGTGACTGTGTGTTGATAAAGTAAGCTGATCTGAGCCGCGTCAGCACGCGGCTCAGATCAGCTTACTGACTCAGCAGTCAGTATGGATCGTGTCGCCGCACACGGGCCACACGCCACAGCAAACAAACGCTGCCAGGAGAAGCTAGAAGCGGCTACTAAAGTGGCTGAAGTGGCAAGGGAGAGAGGGGTGGGGAATCGCGCGAGTGACGTGTGGCGGCGTTTTGTATCGGCGCATTAAGTGGCCGGTGCGGGTCACAAGAAGCGAGCAACGACGATATGTAGCGTGTGGCGGCCACTGGCGTACCGTGTGTGGCGAGTCCATATAAAATGTATGACACCTATAAGAAATAAACCGGTGGCGGCGTTTTGTGGTTGTGGTCGGTGGCCCGTGTGCGACGACACTACGAGTTAGTACTTATGGAAGTGAAATGCTTAAAATACACACAATAAGGTATAAGACGCACCTGCTTGTAGCGGCTTGGCCAGTTTGTCTAATAAATGATTGAACAGCGCAAAGCTGAGTGGATGATCTGCGGTAACGGCACAGTATACGCTCCATTGAGCCAAAGAGTTATCCGTCGGCGATAGGCCACTCTGAGCCGCGTGCTGAGTCAGTATCGACTCTGCGGGACCGCTAAAGTTGCCACACCACCAGTACGGAGCCACCTACGATCGTAAAAAAGGTACTAATAAGAATAATGTAATAATAGTATTCGGTAACTTTAAGATATCATTTAAGAAACAGAGAAGTCCCAATAATTAACGCAGCTAAATAGAAGTAGAAGCGGTCGACTTTGAGCCGCGTGCTGAGTCAGTATCGACTTTGCAGGACCGCTAAAGTTGTCGCACCACTAGTACGGTGCTTCCCGGCATCGTACATAAACGAATCATAACCATCAGCGTATTAACCACTGCCACTGCTGGGCACAAATTTACCCTAAAGATCGAATAGCGAGAACGGACCATGATTGGGTTTAAAAGATTGGATTGGTGGGTGCTAACGACTGCAGATGTAACCTTGATGAGTTCGAGATAATGTTGGTCACTCATCCTTTTACCGCGGTCGATTGCATAACTGGGATGGTCGTAGATCGAACACATTTACCACTGCACCATTATGGTCCTCCCTCAGAAACGTAAACGAACATCTCTTTGCCAAGACAACTAAAAAGGTCGAATTTAGGCAACCACTGGTTTGTTTTTTCAGTTCAATGTTTGTATTGTGTTTACCTTAGAGCTCTCCAGTTCATGCAGGAGCAATATCCTGAGCAGGTGTCGATGTTCCTGGGCGGCCACCTGCGAGTTCTTCTCAGAAGAGAAATTGAGCCGCACCTTCACAACGCCCTGCCTTCGAAGTTTACTCTTCTTGCTCAAGTTGAACCACATCGTCATACCACCCGCTGGTATTGACTGGAAATTGTAGTAAAACACTTTGATGCGACAATTTGTAATATAAATCAAATATGTTATACGGAAAAATGTTTTTTATATAATTGCTTGTAGCTTTTTTCAGAGTTAATACACAGGAATTTTTGATAGCTCCGTAACGTATCGTCATCAACAATTGTGTATGGAAAAAGCTATTTGTTTCTTAGGTTTTCACGCGCGAAATCAGTGCATCTAACCCATTGAAACTTGTTTTATTTAATAGAAAAAGCTAGTTTGTTCTTACGGCCGATAGCTTAGTTTTCATAGACATTCGATAATGCGATACGTTACGGAGCTGTAAAAATTCGTACTTGTTAGGTACCTAATTTAAAGTTTACACTCTCTAGATTAAGTGAAACATTTATTAAATAACACATCTGATGTAATTAGTACTCTTTAACAAAAAATCGATCGATGTAAATATATTATTGTTAAAATTAATTAATATGTAACGTTAATATAAAGGACATTTGCCAATATAGTGTATTTTAATAAATGAGTAGTGTGCTTTGAAACTCAATAAGTAATTACAAATAACTGTAGTACCTTGAGAGGAATATTGGAAGTTCCTATTAATTCATTGTCATGCTTTCCAGTGGACGCTGTGATAGCTATCTCTTTCATGAGCTTTCGGAGACCCTTGACTCCCTTCACTTCAAAAATCTTTGTCATTTTCTCCTTCACCGTTTCTGCTGGATCGAAATCCCTGAAAGCAACGAATAAGGCGTTGAAACACTTTAGATCTTACTCATCATTTGTGTAACGGCATTTACTAATAAAGTAAACTTCCGACAGCGACCTAACATCAAACGATCAAATAGTACTTACAACGTCTTTAAAAACGGCACATATTTCTTATTTATATTACAATGTCCGTGTCAGACACTTACCAGACTTCCAAGCATAGCGTGTCTTCCTGTAGATTTCCCGGCATCGGCCTGCAAATATAGACGTATCCTGTTAAAGCTTACAGTTAACACAAACATGGCTAAACAAACTCGCATCTGCACACGCTTCAAGTGCAAGGCCCATGTTTTAGTTTATATTGTTGCGTTGTCGTAAAATAGTTACGACTATTTCATATTTGTTCCGTTTACTTTTCTTAGCACCACTTGTTCTGAATAATTTTATCGTAAAATTTTGAAATGTACTTCTACTATACTACTACCTATAAAAAAGCAAAACCAGTTTCCAATTGGATACGTAGCTACATAAATAAAAATATCTGACCGGAAAAACAAATTGTGTGAACGTTGCTTCAATTTGAAATCACAAACGTCGGTAACTGTTTTCACGGTCAAGAAAGTATAATAATTGTTGAGAAAAAATGAACTCTAAAATAGATACTTACAAAGAGAAATGTTCCTCCCACACTGGATTGAGGGTTCCTGACTTCACCGACGTATTATACCTATGTGACGAATTTGACATTAAATATATAGTGACGAATGGGTCACTGAGACCATTAGGGTCCTTAGGTACCAGGTCTTTAGCCTCCACTACTTCAACGTTTAACATAAGTTCTGGAGGTTCCTTCGCTTCGGCCTTTGTAAGCAGTTCCGTGTGTTTGTCATTAGCTATTTTAAAAGCTTCTTGGACATAAGACAGCGTAACTGCTTGTCCCACCTCACAGCTCACGTCACATCCCCCGACATTGTGTAGTATTTCGTAAAGTATCTCCAAGTATAGCTCATCAATCTGGAATCAAAGAGGAGTAATTATAGCGTATGATTATGACCTACCACAACTACTTTTAAGAATCAAAATAACTGATATTTCTTAATTTACGACTGGGTCGTAAATTTAAAATTTACTGAAGTATCCAACAGTTTATATCGGGTAGATATTAAAAAGCTAAGACGATTTATAATCTGGTAGCTCAATCCTGAACGTAAGTAAGTATTAAAGAAGAAATCAAAGCAAAAAAAAATAACTACATACCGAAGAATCATAAAAATATCGTAGTTTCATCAACTATTAATAAGATACTTTGGAAAATACGAATCTCTTAACAGAATACCCGACCGAGCCACTGCAGTGACCCGCACTCAATGAATCAACAATAAGTAGGGGAGCCCCGTAACCAAGGCACCACCACGGGGCAAACCAGCGAAAACACGAGACAAGTCGAACCCACAACAAACTAGCACCGACCACATAAATCGACAGGGTTACTGCGCCGCCGTGGGAACCTTATTGATCACTGAAAACACTGGTGCTGTTCTATGTTACCCACTCCGATGGTCACGCAGCATGTAGACTTGTGCTAACGCGACGGAGCGCATAACACTCTGTCAATTGTAAACAAACCTTAAAGTAGCGATTGACTAATTTCTAAAACAAAGCAAAGCCAATCAACTAGCGAATGACCAAACTTAACTAAGATAAGTATATGTAATAATGACGCCACCAATTAAGCTTAGAAACTGTATAATTGTTTTAAAATTATTCGAAGCTGTTCAAAATCCTAAAACATCTCATATTAATAGGCACACTTTGCTCCTTTGTACCTAAGCTTTAAAAAAGTTTGGGTATCGGAAAATGAGCGACAGAATATAATTGCTGTGATAAATATAAGGTTATCTCCTTAATAAACATCAGTTGAACAAAAACACAAAAACATACTGTCATAGACTGGATTATGAGACTGGTCTGTCTTTCCAGCAACTCCTTCTTCACACCTCTGAATGTAGTCCGAAGTGTCCCCATGCCATTCATTTTCGTGGGTAACACTCACACCTATTTACATAACACTAAACAGGTCATTAGAGCAACTTCATTCACATAATATTCGAGAGCACTACTTCGATTCAGTGTAACACACGATCTGTTACACGAATGGGATGTGAAACAGAAATGTATCTGGTGGGAGCTGCCGGTGCACTGACGTTCGGAACTTGGGATTCAACCCGCTCTGAACGCCAAAATCTATTTTTGCAAGGCGCCGTCAACGGAGACTAATGCGAACTCAACCAAATAATAGAAAAAAATGTCCAAACTCTCAGCAGTCAGCTATCGTCTGGACTTCCGCCCCCGGATAGTACTCATAAAAAAATTCTCAATTAATTTGACATTGCGGTGATGAATTAAATGTGCACCATCAAAATCATTGTAGTAATTGAAACGCTCTACAGGTGTGTTCATAGTTATCCTTGTTTATCTAAATAATAAATTCTTCCTCTGACGCTACATGTTAAAGCGCATCTCCTAGTAGAGCCCATAATGTCTATGCTAATGGAGAATCAGATTTATTATCGGTAATTACAGACAGAAAATCTATAACATAAAGCATTATATGCAATAAATAAAACACTATGAAAAGTTTTATGACCTAATAGAAGCATTCCAGGCTATAAACAATAAAAATATATTTATTAATGTTCCGGCATCTCTACGATTTGTTATGTAGGTACCTACCTAAATTGGCAGTTTTAATGCTTACATTGATTGGGATTGAAACAGTATATTGTATGATCGAATTTTAAATAAACTGTGTCTTTAAGAAAATTATTTACCTATTTGTTTTAGGGAATCATCTCATAAAAATGTAAAAAAAAATACCTTTAAAGTGCTTACCTGCATTTTACATATAACCGGTGAAATTAAACCACTTTAGACATAAATTTCTATTAACGTCTATGTTGCGGAAAGTTTACTTTAGTTGTTGTAATTTATTGCAATCCATTTTAAACGTATAGGTAGGTATAAAAACTGTGGCTTCTAAACTAGTTACAACAGACGCACGTGCTGATCGATTTATTTATTTTATTAACCATCATACTACGTTCGTTTATGTTCTACTAATCGGAAAGTACACTTCACAGAGAGCTTACTGTTTATTCTTTGATCTACAAACAGGTACTGGTTAGTGGTGGTCACTCTGTCTGTACTGAACTGAATCAATCTGTATACATAATATCAATATCAGATAAAACTAAGGTATCAAAATAATTACAACATTGCATTTCTGAAGTGGTTCTACATTATTTGATCAGTGAAACGTTTACCATTAAGTTAGCAAAAGGAATGAATAAAAATAATTTATTTAATGTTATTTTTTTTTTGTCAACACTAAATTTCCTGATTATTTGTTCAGTGAAATAAATTGGATCAATTGAATTTACTATCGTTTCATGCAAAAATCTAAAAGCTTTGTATTTATCCTGCTTCCTTTTTTGTTTATACTTATTTTAAGTGAAAGTTAGTATGTTTGTGACTCAATCACGCAAAAACTACAGAACGTACCTATTTGGATACAATATGGTACGCATAAATGTAATTTATGACCTAGACTGAAACATAGCATACTGTTTTCATCCCGGCAAAGTTTAGGTTCCTGTGGGATTAAAAAAACTATAATTTAAACAGACGAAGTCACGGGCGGTGGCCGCTAGTTTATATAGACTTAGAGTATTTACTAATATTTCGGTGTTAGGTATTTCTATTTCTACTAAGTAATGATGATGCTACAATCAATTCCAAAAAATAACTAATGACAAAAATAAAACCATACTTCTCTCAAGTATGAGTCTGACTGTGCTGTGTACAGATGCTAATGCTACATCATGTAAATAGAAACATACAGAGCAAGAACATACATTTAGTTAAACATTGATGTCTTGAAAACATCACATGGGTTTAGGCTGGCCTTACTTCTACTGCTGGAGTACCTACTTTCCGAACTAATCTAAATTCAAGTAGTGTTTTGCTTTTACAGATACTGACGTTGAACAGCAATATATGTATATACAATTGTTCCTATTTATTTTAATTTTAAAAGCTGTTTCAGTGGATGATTATGTGAATTTTAATTAAGTATTAAGACACATGTAATAGAACTTAATACTACCGCTTTATCAACCTCCACTTAATGTCTGACAAACATCGTTTTATGATTCAATAAGTAAGCATTATGCTATGTATGCCAAGCGAGTTCTTTGAACCCAAGGGATGTCGCAGACAAAGTTTGAGCTCACAAGCCACTTTTAACGTCACCGGAGCAACATTGGACTGAACGCATTCTCTAACGACTTTAGCCATTGAGACCAACCTTGGGTGAGGAAGTTGACAAAATAACTGAAGAAAAGTGAGTGTATTTGGCAACATGCCAAACCCAAACGGCCGCGATTATTGTGAGCTCAATCACACCTTTTTGTTGATACCTTGTTGAATAGCAGAAGCATTTAAACAACCTTGAACAACTACAAGATCATATAAGTAGAGTTTCTAAATATTGATTTGTCTGAGTACATAATGTCTAGCGCATCTATTGTTATGCAAATCTTCTTAAACCTGCAGTCGAAAATCTTTTCATTGTGCCATTGTGTTGGAAAAGTGCCCAAATTAACAAAAGCAGGAATCTGATATTCGTCGCCATAACGTCTCTGTACGTGACCCATTTTCCTGGGCATCACACCTCTGTTTATTCCAATGTCTAGTTCAGTTCGAAATAAAAATGCCACAGATGTAGAACTATCTTGCTAAAAATACAATGGCCCTTGGATTATATTTATTTTTATGAGAGGAGGTAAAACCTATTTCTGTGCGATACATAACATTTCTTAAATAGTTTTTCTTTATAATTTTTTAGTTTTTTCCGCGGTCACATTTTTTGTTAAAGTGTTTATTTAATTTTTCAATGACTATAATCTTTGTAAAAATCGAAATCTTTGAGTGAACAATCAGCCCTATTTTCCTACCCATAGGGCAGGGTTTAAGTTTCCATATTATCTGGGACCGACTTCGAGGATACCCTTTCCAATAAAAAAATAATTATCTAAAGAAAAGTTTACTAGAAAAAATTCCATGCGGACCAGGCAGCAGACGGGACGAGCAGTTAAATGCTTAAAAAAGAAAAACATAACAAAAAAGAATTATCATAATCGGACTACTCTGTAAAAAGTTATGCATAAAAATATATACGCGTCTACTTGAAAAACTTCTAGGTGTTTTTCGTCGGTTAAAAATATCTACATGTGAAAATCTATTAAGCTACATTTATAAATCTAAGCATCTAGCCTGATATTATTTCTAAGTAAAATTTTCATTAGATTTACGATTTAGAGTTCAATATTTCAATTAATTACACAATTAGTCAGAAGCAGTGAACACTGTGTCAACACGGGTTCAAAATATGAATTCCTCGTTTAATTTAATGAATCTCTTCCTCTATCCTCTTTAAGATTAACATAGCAAAAAATTAAGAAAACTGAAAATCAATACTCACATTCCATCCAACCGCTTCGACGTAAAGATCTATTTTTTCAGGGTCGTCAGGTTCAGAATCCGTATCAAGTAAGGTTTCGTTTCCGCTATCTGAATCCCTGTTAATACTGCGACTTTCGCTTTGTAAGTCAACTTCGGTCTTCTGATCGCCATCTTGTTCTTCGACCTCTTTTAAGGGGGCTAGTGGGGTAGATTCTTCTAGTGCTGCCTTTTGAGACGCCTGCTTCAATATAGAGCCGAACTTTTCGAAGAAGCTATCATCTACCTCCTGAACCCTATAAAGAAACAATTTTAAGTAACTTGCCAGTGCAAATACAAAAAATATTTATAGTAAAACTATAATTACACTTATTTACTGATTTTATCGAAATTATTACTGGCTGACCCAGCAAACTTCCACACGTCAAAAAGTTTGAGATGAGGAGGTTATAGAAGGGTGAAATTTTGGTGTTGTTTTGTATTTTTTTGAGGGTGGACAACCGTTATCACTCTGGGGTATGAAAAACAGTTTATGCCTTATTCTCAGACCTACACACAGAAAAATCAATAAGAATCAATCAAGCCGTTTTAGAAAAGTTTTGTTACAAACCCTGTAAAACGTATTAGATTAGTCTTTTCTTGTAAAACTATATTTTTTTTATTTTGTATGTTGATTGATATTTTGCATTTAAAGTATTGTGTTAAATGAAATAAAAAATCCCAATTGTAACAAGAAAAAATGCATATATTTCTGAGTAGACATACCCAAATAGCAATACATTATTATACCTACTTAATATTTAAAATAATAAAAAATAAGTTTTACTTAACTATAAACAAATTTATAACATAACAATTAACAAAGAAATGGCACAATAGCTATTAGAACTAAAGTATTATATTTTATGAAATGTAAATGATGAGAAATATAATTCACCCATAAAGTCTAGTATTTGTCATATCTACATTATCACAATTCTCTGGAAGACTGGAATGGTTTACAATCTAAATTCTTTCAACAATATTAATTACAGGACACTTTTAATTTTTAATACAGCAATCTAACATCTAATGCCAGCACTTTACTTGGCTATTTATGTTTACTACTTGTAAACTTGAAATCAGTCTGTCCTTTTCATTGCTTATAAAGCAAAATAAGGGCAGATGTTGTAAAGTTTTCAAATAGCAAATATGAATAGCCAAGTAAAATGCCAGCATAACAATTACATGAAACACAACATACAATTGAGTATACCTAAGGTGTCTAACAGCAGAAAAGTTTAGCAATACAATAAATGCAATCAATATTTCTTAATTAAATCAATCAGTTCTACTTTTTACATGTCAAAATATGATTTCATAAAATAATTCAAATAAAATTGTTGATTCTCTTTGATTTGTTACCAGTATGTTTTGGGCTATACAAATATTGATTAAAATCATTAATACAATTGAATTGCAAATTATCATAAACATTGATTCCAAGATAAAATAACAATTGGTTAAATATTCAATGCATGAAACTAATATATTCATTAATCAAGTCCTGACATTAATGTGTATTTAATATCAGTGTATTCCTCAGCTCCATGCTTACTGCCCTCTCTGCCAATTCCTGATTCTTTGATCCCACCAAAAGCTGGTTCAGCAGCAGATAAGATACCATCATTTATTGCTATCATTCCAAATTCTAAGTTCTTTGACATTCTAAAGGACTGGCCCAAATCCTTTGTAAACACATAAGCTGCCAAACCGCTTCTTGTGCTGTTTGCTATTTTAACTACTTCTTCCTCATTTGAGAACTTTAGACATGCAGCAACAGGGCCAAAGATCTCATCATTGTACAGTTTCATGTCTGGTTTCACATCAACTAATAAAGTGGATTCATAGAAGTTCCTGCCCAGATTCTTTGCAAATTTACCACCAACTACCACTTTCGCTCCTTTCGAGACAGCGTCATCTACAAAATCTGCTACCTTGTTTACATGAGCTGTGTTAACAAGAGGCCCGCATGTCACACCTTCCTTAATACCAGGCCCTAGTACACATTTCTGTCTAATTTTGGCTTTGAAACCATCAACAAATTTATCGTAAACATCTTGATGAATGAGAAACCTGTTAGCACCAATGCAAGCTTGGCCATTATTCCTGAATTTTGCCAACATAGCTTGATCTAAAGCATGGTCAATGTCCGCACTGGGGAAAACAATAAAAGGAGCATTTCCTCCCAACTCTAAAGCAACCCGTTTTATGCCATTTGCTGCCATGCCATACAAAATTTTACCAACTACTGTGGAACCAGTAAAAGATATACATCCAACTTTTTCATGTTCACACATCACTTTACCAACACTGGGGGCATTCTTCCTACTCGATGTGACTACATTTATGACACCTTTAGGTACACCTGCTTGTTCAGCAAGGCTTGCTGCAGCTAGAGCTGACAAGGGTGTGTCTTCAGCAGGCTTAATCACACATGTGCACCCTGCAGCCATTAAAGCTCCCACTTTGCGTGTTATCATGGCAAATGGAAAGTTCCATGGTGTAATAACAGATACAACACCAATAGGTTGTCGGGTCAAAAGAATTTGCTTATTAGGCCATGGACTCGGTATGATCTCTCCATTGATGTGACGAGCCGTATCGGCAAACCATTCTAAGAAAGAATTTCCATAGGTTATTTCACTTTTCGCTTCGGCTAAAGGTTTTCCTGACTCTGCTGTAATAATCTGAGCCAAGTCACCACTATGTTTCTCACACAGATTAAACCAGTTTCTCAATATGTGGGACCTTTCTTTGGCCGTCGTATTTTTCCAAGTTTTGAATGATTTTGAAGCGGCTTCTATAGCGTTTATAGCATCGGTGTCGTTCATATCAGGAATGTCGGCAATCACGCTCTCATCTGCGGGATTAAGCACCGAAAACACCGCATTATTGTTGGCTTTTATCCATTTCCCATCCACGTATGCTTCTTTCTTTAGTAAATGCATGTTTCTACACTGTCTAGTAAATATTTGAAAGCTTTTTATCACTCTGGACTGCATTGACACCATGTTTTACGTAACTGATAAAAAGAGCAGAGATCAGTAGTCTTGTCTTGACGTTATTGCCACACACTACAAACAATAAATTGCTCTCAGTGTGAAGATAACAATTTAAATCATTGTATTGCTCTATTAAATTCAATTCAAGCAGCAGGTCGATCGGTACGCGCAGAAAACGAACTGTCACGGTGACATAAGGCATTTTTTTTTTAAATATTCTCCCTTTTTAGGGAAGGCAAGGGGAATTAAAGCCCATACAGCCTCGTCTTTAGTTTGTTTATTTTATATTGAAGAATAATCTATATATATAAAAATGTTATGTTGGTTTGTGTACGCTTTTAAAACTCAAAAAGTTCTGCACCGATTGAGTTGAAATTTTAACATGATGTAAAATCCGCATCAAGGATTGTTTTTATCTATTTTTTGCATCAGTCACATATCTGCGACCGCGAGAAAACAGTTTTTTTTATCGATCAGCTGTGTACCATATACCGCGCCATTTGCCAGAAGCGAGGAAAACACTCGCTGACAACCGCAATAGTAATGACGCAGTCACATGAGAAACAATTTCGTTCCCAATTACATTGTTTATTTACAAAAAAAATGCATCTGATTCTGATTATTATACAATCTGAATTAAATATTCACTTAAATCAAGAATTTTTGGTGTGATAGTGTTGTGATCGAAATGCGCCTTTCACCAAATCGTAAGTAGAGGTTATATTTTACATCAAAGATGGACAGTAAAAATATTATTTTTGTGCAATTATTATTTATTTAATTTTAATTAATTAGATAAATAAGTAAAATATTAGTTAAATAATTAATCAATAATAAAACATATTTATTATTGAAGTGAATCTTTTTTAAGTGTGAATATCTACGCAAACGGTGGAAAAACAAAAAATATTGTATATCCAAAAGTATTCCAAAATTAAACTTATATGAAATGTATTCTTTGTTTTGTTTCTCATTTCTCAACCATTCAATCACAATGTGCCACTGCGAAGCGTGGCAGGGTACAGCTAGTTATTTATATATATTAAAGAACGCAACTAAAAGACCGTCATAATGACAGAGTCATCGGTTGGTTGTTATAATAACGTAGGCTAAGATTGTAAAATTCATACAGCCTAAACTTTCCGGAATATATTTGTATTTTTTCTAGTATTCACCATCAAGTATCAACTAACATCTATAGCTATAAACGCTAGACGATAGCTTGCCTAATAATTCATTACAATAGAACTAATTCAAATTAATTTAAACTCTCATTATAGCGCTTTTAGTATCAAAGTAACCCAAGGTTTCGTCAGATGTGGGAAAAGCATTAGCTTAATAATAGTAAATTACATAGAAGGAATGCTAAAATAGCAATGTAAGCGACAATGTACATTCGGGCCCTCTTACTTTCACCAATAAGCTCGATAATGATGTCCGTCCGTGTCGATAATGTATATAATAGATATTGTATTTTTAAAGCTCACTACTTTAATGCCGGATTTATACTCGTCCGACGTGTTATGCCGAGAGTTGAAGCGTCTCAGAG